TACCCCTGCAGGTGTCCAGGGCCCTAACCCACCCCTACAGTTTACACATGTCCTGAGACACTGAAATGGGAGCATCCACATAGGATAAACACTAGGCGACAGGCAAGCCCTCAGACACTATTGGAGGTGCCCCTCTGGGCCAGTGTGCTGGCCACCCCAAAAGGAGGTCCTCACCTGCCATCCACAGGAAGGACACCCACGTAGCTCCTGTGGGGATGGTGTGCAGTGACCACAAGAAGAGACTGCAGATGTGAAGGTGCTGACTGAGCTCCCTTGGCACCCCTGGCCGATGACAGAAGAGCTCCCTCCACGGGGAGCCGGGTGGTTCTGGAAGCTGAGTCCGCTTGTGCCCACGTGGCCCTGCCTCCCCTCCATCTCTCTCCTTTCCCCCAGCCAGGGGAATCCTTTCCATCTGCAGGTGCAGAAGTTTCCCTCTTCCCCGACTCTCCTCCCACATCCATTATTTATGCCTCAGTCCCTCTCATCCCCCTGAGGCCAAAGGTTTTGAAACTCCAGAGCCGAGAGCTGACAGTCTGTCTTCTGAGTTTCTGTTGACTCATCGCCTTGGGGATGCACAGCTGGCAGAATGGAGGAGGGGGCAAGGTGGGAACACCAGGAGCAAAAACATGTATCATCCCACCACACGCTCTCAAATAGTTATGTCAAGACTTGTGATGATGATTTGTGTTTATTTGTTTCACGAAAGTAGAGCTATGCCCGTGGGTGTGGGTCAGATGCTGGAGGAGGGAGTAGCACCCTGCTTTGTGCCCCAAGACATCCAGCTATCAAAGGGGATGCTGGGAGAAATGCAGAGCCCAGCATGGCCTGGGTTGGGACGGATGTCTCCACACTGAGACTGAGCAAGCCACTCAGCCCACTGCCCCGTCCATCTCCTCTCTGAGGCCTCCGCCATGAGGGAAGTCACTTTACCCACGAGACAGTGTGGTGGTCCCAGAGTCTGTGATGGAGACCATGGGAATTGGTAGGGTTTCTGATGCGCAACAAGGAAGCCCACCTATGGAAGTTAGATGTGCTTTCAGCCTGAGCTTCTTTTGAATGGGAGCGTTATTTACTCAATAAATCTTAATAACTCCATCAATTACCATAGAAATATTTTGGAAACATCTTCACCCAGTTGGGAAAGGCTCCTAACCAGGTGACAGGGGAATTCTTCTCTTTCCCCATCAGCGAGTGGGACCGGCCACTGAGAGTTCACGGTGGTCCAGAGTCTTGGTGAAAATAACTCTGAGATCAGCAGACCAAGACAATCCTGAGAATCAAGAAGCTTCTAGGGACCAATCTGGAAAATAGAGCACCTCGTCCTGATCTGGAAGACATTTCCATCCACAGCTCTGCAAAAGGGCACCTTCCTTAGTCATTTCATCCCAATTTGGCTCCTTTTAACAAATGCATTTTCAAGTTCAGAGCTGGAATGGGCCCCTGGAGGCTTCTGAGGCCTGGAGAACAGGAGAGAACTAAGTACAGAGAGATGGAACTGGAGCCACTGTCTCAGAGCCCACTGGAACCCCAGCCAAAGGTTGGCCCTGCGCACAAGACCAAATCACAGAATTTCTCTGCTGAATTCGCCCCAAGGTTAATAGCACTTTTTGTGTTCCTCCCAAGTCCCTACATGGCGCAGGGGGAGAATCCCACCACAAATCAGTCAGCTGATCTTGGGTACATTTTATAGTCCTCGGAATCTACATCTCCAGCCATAAAATGGAAATCATTGTATTTATCCTCCCTCATAATACAGCGAGTCCCTCCTATCGGATAGTTGGCTATCTGAGCACAGGGACCATGTTGTATTCATTTTCCACAGAGCCCAGTAGAGGTACCTATTAGTAACAACAACCACAACAGCAGCAATAATAATAATAAAGTATCCTCTATTGAAGACCTACTATGTGCCCGGGACTCTGCTAATCATGGGTCATACATTATCTCATTGAATCCTTATAACACACTTCGGTTTGGTATGGTTATTAGCCCCATTTTACAGATGAGGAAGCTGAAGGTCAGAGAGTGGAAGTCTAACCTACTCAATTTTTAATACTTGATCCTGGCTCCTTTGCCCTCCCTTCTCTCCCCTCCCCAACCCTTCTCCCTCTAGCAAAAAAGAACAATAATCTGGTGTATGAAAAGACTTTTCATAAACGTAAACTCAAATAAATTGTGTCTGGAGCATCTGTGGCTCTCTCTCCTTTCCAAGGATCATTGGCCATTCATTTATTCAGGAAACAATTACTGCAAGTCTCCTCTGCACAGGCTGAGGATAAAATAACGAGCTAAAATGATCATCCTCCAGCCCTCGGGAACTTACAGTCTAGGAATATTGTCTGACGTGCTGGGCATCTCTGTAAGCAAAAGGTAGTCTCCGTCTTACCCATCCCTGCCCAGGTTTTATTCATTCATTCTTCACCATTTACTATCTATTGAACTAAGATTGGGTTAGCCTGCAAGTAACATAATCCAAATATCAATGGCTGCCTTAAACTGTAAAGAGAGGGCTTATTTTTCTTGTATAACATAAGGTCCAGTAGTAACTTGTTTAATAACTAAAAGATGTCAGAACAGAGAGGTCTTGATGGTTCTGGTGGCCTTTGCCTCATGGATGTATGATGGTTGCCACAGTGCCAGCAATTGAATCTATAGTCTGAAAAAGTGGAAAGTGGTGGGACCGGCCCAGTGGCATAGTGGTTAAGTTCACGTGCTCCACTTTGGTGGCCCAGAGTTCACGGGTTTGGATTTCAGGCACAGACCGATCACGGACCTACATACCGCTCATCAAACTGTGCTGTGGCAGCATCCCACACACAAAGTAGAGGAAGATGGGCACAGATGTTAGCTCACTGACAATCTTCCTCAAGCAAAAAGAGGAAGATTGGCAACAGATGTTAGCTCAGGGCCAGTCTTCCTCGCCAAAAAAATAAATAAATAAAAATGAAAAAGAGGAAAAGTGGCAAAAGGGCCCACATCAGCTGAGTCAACCTCCCTTTCATGGGCTTTTCTGGAAGTCCTTTGCAACGTCTTAGCACTAAACACTTCTGTCACAGACACTGTTGGTGCCTGCCCCTCCGTGTCCCCTTGGCACTCGTCATTTGGGCACCACAGAATGTCCTTCTACAAACACCTTCCTTTTGCCCCAGGAGCTTGCTCAGGTCACCACACAGACCAGGCCAGAAGTGCAGAGTTAAGGGTACCTGGGAGAAGTCTCAACCAATGACAGACAGCAGGTGGTGGATAAATAGCCCAGGTGGGAAAAGATGGGGCCTGTTCTACACCATGTCTCAGAGGTTCCCAGCGGGATCAAGCCCCAGTTGGCTCCAGCCATCACTTGCTCACTCACACACTCTGCGTTTGGCATCTTCTCTTCCTTGTCTCATTTCCACAAATCCTTCCTGGGTCACCTTCCAAATAAAGTGCCAGCTCTTAAACCTCGGACTTAAAGATTCTGCTTCTGGGAACCCAACCTAAGGCAGCTTGTTGGCCAGACTGCATCCCGGGGCCACACGGGCTGCAAGATCCTGGAGAGGGCGCTCCTTGAGACGGATACGTTACTGCTCCCGTCAACACTGGGGTTCTGTTGACATGGAGGGGAGAAGGGGTAGCAATTTGGGTGGGATCGCACCTAGCAATCTCTACCATCCCTAGATCAGGCCAGCTCCAGGTAGGTGCAGGATCTCCCACATTTGCACCAAGGACCCTCCAAGTGCCATGCATGCCAAGCATCCTGCTGGGCACGGGTTCCAGTGGAGGCCAGGGACAGCCTCTGCTCAGGGACTTACAGTCTCGAGGAGGACGGAGACAGACAAACAGCAGCTGTAATGCAGATATGGGCGTTGACCTCTGGGAGCCCTCGAGCGAAGGAGGCTCCACCCTAAGAGCTTTACATACGTGGTGATGCTGAACCCTCGAAAGCAGCCTCTGAGACAAGGACTAGTTTTACTTTTTTTGTTCTACAGATGAACAAACTGAGAATCAGGGAGGTTGAGTGACTTGCCCAAGAACACACAGCTAATAAGTGGCAGAGTTCAAACTCAAACTCAGTTTGTACTGAAGAAGCGATGTCCCAGCTACGCGTGGAAGGGTGAGCAGCAGTGGGACAGATGGAGAAGAGGGCAAGACAGTTCTAGGCAGAGAACGGCCCATGCAAAGGCCAGAGACTTGAGATGCTCCGTAAGGCTGCCCATGCTGGGGAGCTGCCCAGGCCTCAGCTGAGCAAAGGGAGCGACAGCTTGAAAGGGGCTGCTCCAGCCCCCAGAGCTGGGACCAGGAGCCACCCTCACTCCACTAGGACACCTCCCCACCATTCTCTCTCGCTCACTGGCTCGCTTTCTCTTACACACACACACATTCCCTACATTCTGGCCGCCCCCCCCCCCCCCCCCCGTGCTCACCACCTCACAGGTACCCACTCCAACACACCACCTGCTTGACCTCAGTTTACACCGGTGCCCTGTTACCTCTAGATCAAGTGCAGAATTTCCCATGCTTGTATTGAGGACCCTCTAAGCACCACTTTCAGAATCAGAGAGTCAGGGGTTCAAATCCCAGCTCTGGGTTAGCCCCAAGTAAGTCAGATAGTCTGTCTCAACCTCAGTTTTCCCATCTGCAAAACGGGAATGAAAATCCCCACTTCACAAGGTTGTAGTGAGGACCTAACGAGATTGTATGGGTAAGTTCACAACATGGTGGCAGGCATCCATCGGCCGTTTTCTTTTATTATTATTATTAATCATACGAGCACCCTAGAATATCCACCCTTAGCTACTACATCCTAATCTTGCAATGACTGTCCGCGCCCTCGCTCCTGCACCAGCTGTTCTGCACACCTGGAATGCCTTCCCACTCCTCCCTCTTCCAGCTATTCCCTGGACCAGGCCTGGGGGCCTTGCCCCTCCAGCTGCTTCTCCTTTGGCTCAGTGAATTGCAAACTCGGCTGGGTAGTAGAATCACCGGGGAGCTTTTTAAGACTCCCCCCCCCCCCCCGGGGGCCCGACGCCTAGGCCCCGAAGAGACGGACTACATCAGAATTCTGAGCTGGGCACCCTGGGCACCAGGATGTCCTCAGGCTTCCCCAGGTGATTTTGATTTGCAGGCAGGTTTGAGAACCCGCCCTCCGACCTCTTCCTTCTGCGAAGTCCTGTAGTTTGACCTACGTTTACCCTGTGCCTTTCGCTTCTTGATGGCTGGCTTGTGTGTGTTTGTCTTGTCCCCTGAGCAAAGCCAAGTTCTTGCGAGGAAGCACCACCTAGCTTCCCTCACGACCCCCGGCGAGTGCTGACCTCCTTTCCACACTGTCAAGACGAGTTCGCCAGGAGGCTGGTGCACACACAGCAGGTCATTTATCTCCATCTCTCTTCGCCTCCCCACGGGCCCTTCCTGCTCAGCAGCGGCTGTCACTCGGATCCCCTAGGAGCCGACCTCTGCCTTTCCACGTGTGGCTCTCGGTGGGGACTCCTCAAAGCAAATCCAGAGGGCCTGCCCCGCCCTCCAGACAGCCTGTCCCTAACGGCAGGGTCGAGGTCCGCGTGCGCCGCGCGTGCGCAGCCAGCCTGCGCCCCGTCCATCCACTCCCAGCCCCCTGCGGCGGCCCCTTGGCCTCACCACTGCCCTGCATCCTCGGGAGGTGCTCGGGGGAAGAGAAACATGCAGGCTAGGGCAGAAAATATTCTCCAAAATGGCCACAGAAACATCTCCCACGCCGTGGACTCTTCTACCGTGTAACCTAGCCCCGCGGCCATCAACCTTGCCCCCATCCCTCCCCGGACCTGGCCAGACTTTTGTTTCTGCCTCTACCAATAACATGACAGAAGGGCCTCTGGAAGCGGGTCCTGAAAGGTGATTCGGCTTCCTCCTGGGTCTCCCTCCTGGGACACTTGTTTCTAGAACCACTGGCCACAAGGTGAGGGAGCACGGGCCCCATGGAGAGGCCATGCGCAGATGTTCTGGCCGGCAGCCCCGGCGGAGGCCTCAGCCGACCGTAAGATCGACCGCAGACGTGTGGGTGAAGAACCTCCAGATGGCTGTGGCCCCAGCCACCGTCCGACTGGACGTCAGGAGCAACCCAGGGGAGAATGATTACACCCACCCCCCCAACCCCCGACAGGCCCAGGACCGTGGGAGGGAGTTCTCACAATGAGATGATAGTGGTTTCACACTGTGCAGTTTAAGTGGTTTCCTTTCTAGCAACGGAAAACTGATCCACTGGTCCTGAAAGAGGGCTCGAGGCTTTGGGGCAGGGAATTCTGGGGTCCCCAGGGCCCGGAGGCTGGTGCAGAGGAGGGGATGTGAGCTCTGGGTGGGCACGTGCCCTCGCCTCAGCAGAACCTCCTCATCCCAGGAAGGAGGGCCGCGGGAGGTGGGCCAGAGCAAGGCCTTCTGCTGCGTGGGGGCCAGTGGGGCCCTGAATGTCTGGCTCTAAGGGTGACGTTTCCCCCATGTATCCACCCCGAAAGTGGCTCCAGGGTGACGGTCCAGACAGAAGGCCTTTGAGCTGAAGTCTCCCTCTTGCTTTCTGCATGAAGGAAGCAGAGCGCAGGGGTGAACAAGCTGGGCTTTGCAGAGAGAGCAGAGGTACCACCCGAAGCCGTGTTTGACTTGGCTCCCACTGTGTTGTTTTTAGAAAAAGAATGTGTTGCCAACGTTTAAAAATTGGAAGACTTCAAATAAAGACCTGTAGATGTATAAATATGTATTTTCCCCCTGATTATAGAAACAAACATGCTAAGATTTTCTCTTGAAAATCAGACGAGCTGGCCCCACTAGGTCTGCATTTCCCTGTGGCAACAACTAGCTAGAACTGAGCATTAGGTAAGGGGGTCCCTCTCCAGTGTGCCCCAGGCCCCACCACTCCCTATCGTCTTAAGCTTACCAGGCTTCACTCACTGCATTAAATGCCTGGTCCCCGTCAGCATTTGATTTTAGAATTCCCAAGGCTCGTTGACTCAGCTGGCCATCCAGGCCCATCGCTTACTAGCTGTGTGACCTTGGGCATGCCACTGACTTTGCCTCTGTTTTCTAGCCTTTAAAACTATAATGCACCTGCCTTGAAGCACTCGGATGAGAACTAAGATGAAAATGCATAGGGAAGACTTATCCCAGCCTTTGGCATATAGTAAGTACTTTGTAAATAATTGCTATTGTTATCAGTATAGTTATTTTTGCTATTTGAGGACTTGGGTCTAATTTCCTGCCTGCCATCCCCCATGACTCCCGTTCAGCCCACATAAGCTGTCTCCAACCCCCGACTCTGCAGATCCATCCCCCGTGCCCAGGAGAACCACAGGGTTGGGGAGCGGCCCTGGGCTGCAGCCTTGCCATCAAATGTAAATATTAGTGTTGGCCCAGCCCAGGAGTGCTGGATGCAGAGGAGTGAGTGTGCTGGAGCCCCAAGCGGCATGTCTGCCAGGAGCTGCCAGGCAGAGGGACCACCCCAGCTGGCTCCAGCTCTGGGTTGTATCAGAGTTTGGGGAGAACTCAGTTGGCATCATGTGTACCCCGAGCTGTGCCCCAAGACAAAGAGATGATGCTGGGGCCCTGGGTCCTGGCTTTGGCAGTGATCATTCCAGAGAGGGTAACAGAAGAGCAAAGACTGCAGAAGAGCAAGTCCAGTAGGGAGGCACTTGGCTTCTGCAATTCCAGCTGAGTGACTCGCTTCAGCTGCAATTATCTGGTTACTTTAGGCAAAAGCGAACCAAAAGCCAAGGGCTTCAGATCAGGCTGCTGACCACAGCCAGAGTCCCACCCTGGCCACTTAAAGCTGTTGAGTGTGGACAGGGAGGTTACCGTAAGACCTGGGACTCCAAGAGACTCCACGTTTTCTTATCTTCTCTATCCACAGCATGACTTGGGCAAATTTCCAGAGTCCTGGGCCATCTAGAGAGGCGGTAGTTACAGGCATGGGTGTCTTTGGGGTCAGTCAGGCCTGGGTTTGCATCCTGGCTCTCCCACTTATTAGCTGTGTGATCTTGGGCAAGTTTCTTCACTTCTCTGTGCCTCAGTTTACTCATCTATAAAATGGTGACAGCACCTGCCTTGTAGGAAGAGACTGTGCTGGCCCGGAGGTGAATGTTGGTATACGAATTGGGCAAGGCTTTGTGCTCAGCACCTCCTAAATCACTGATCGGCCTGTGGACCACCAGCCCTGTGCCCACACTCATTCACTCAATGGCCACCTCCTATGCCATCATGGCTGCCACACCACATGCCTACAATGGAACACTCTGCAACAGTTTAAAAATGAATGAGGCCTTCCTCTAATGCCTGATACAGAAAGATGCAGTGGTTCTCTCCAGCCAGACATCCAGGACAGTACCGTTTTCTCAGCTCATCTCTTCCCTGCAGGCGAGCAGTTGCCACAAGCTGATGCACAGGTGCGCATCCTCTCTGCTGGGCCTGAAGACCCCGATGGCTCCAACCCACTACGTGAAGCCACCTCCCCCTCCCCCGCCCCAACTCTGACAACGGCATCTATGTTTCTTCATGGAAAAACCTTCTCGACTCAATTCACTGCCAAGCCAGGCGAGCGCTCCAACTCGACAGAATTATCAGCACTGAGCTAACAGAGACAGATGAACCGAGAGGCGAGTGGGGACAGCGAGCAAACAGATCTATTTCCCAGCTCCGAGATCCGGTCTGGGCTTCCCCCCAACAAAAGACGAACTTCTCTGCGGAGGTGTCCACGGAGCCCCTGTGTTAAGTCAATTTTCCTCCCCTTGGCCTTCCATGAGTGGCTGAGGAAGGAGGTGGGGGGCCCAGGTGGCGAACCCCAACACTGGCCCTGAGCATCTTCTCACCCAGGGAGGCTTTCCCGCCATCCCATCTAAGAGGCCGCTGGAGGACCAGGGGGAAAAAAGAGTTTGAAAAATGCAGTTCTTTGGTGAAAAGATTGGCTGTCTGAGGGCTGAATGGAAAACAGTCAACTTCAATCCGATGGGAAATTCTTCTTTCCCCGGGCTTTCTATCTTACGAGTTTTCACAGCCAATCTTAAGCCCCTGGCAGCCCCCTGGGGATTGGAGCTGCTTGTAGGGGGGCTGTGGGTCCTGCTTGGAAAAGGCTCCCAAGATGATAAAACGGCGGGGCTCTCAAGTCAATGATCTGTGGCCGCAGACAGGCCAGGTGGTGCCCACACACATGCTGCTATGGGGGCTGTTGACCCCTGGGGCTGTTGCTTCCAGTGGAGGGGCAGCGCAGCTCCGGAGTCTTCCTAGTCCCCCAGGGGCACCCTGTGTGACCTGCTAAGTGATTTCACGCCTCAATGCCTGGACAGCCCCATCTATCACATGGGACAGGGCGCACACCGTCTCTTACCACACGGGAGTCGGTCTAAAGATCATTGTTCACATGTTTCGAGCTGGAGTGTTCCAGTAGCCCAGCACCTGGAATTAGGACACTGGGTCAAAGGGCATGTCATTAAACATTTTGATAGATACTAAAAGCTCTCCCAGTTTTCGCTCCTGTGTCAGGCAACTTTTACTGTGTAACAACTTGGAAATTTCAGCTGCACAGAACCAGCATTTGTTTTCTGGCTCACTTGCCTGCAGTTCAGCAGGCGGGGCTGATCCAGGCTGGGCATGGCTGGGCTGAGCTCCAGGCCTTGTCTCCTGTCCTCCTGGGACCTGTAGCTCCCTGGGTAATGTTGTTCTCCTGGTGATAGCCAAAGCACAAGAGGGACAAGCAGAAACATTCCAGGCCCCTGAAGGCCTAGGCACAGAACTGGCCACCATCACGCCTGCCCCCATTCCATTGGGCAGAGCCAGTCCTGTGGCCAAGCCCGGTGTCAGTGGGGCAGGGAGGCCTACACCTCCCGTGAAGTTTGGAGTAGGGGTGGAGTGAATGCTTACAGATGGGTAATGCAGTCTACACAACCCCTGTCATGTGTGTGCGTGTCTGCTTATGCTCACACTCGTGCACAAAGAGGTATGTGCAAGAATGTTCACTGCAACACAGTGTGTGCTGTTGAAACCTGAAGAAAAAACCCCAAATACGGTAGTCCCTCTGTATTCGAGGGATTGGGTCCAGGGCTCCCTGGATACCCAAATCTGGGATGCTCAAGTCTCCCATACAAAATGTCATAGTATTTGCATATAATCTATGCCCCTCCTCCCATATATTTTAAATCATCTCTAGATTATTTATAATACCTAATACAATGTAAATGCTATGTAAATAGTTGTTCCATTGTATTGTTTAGAGAATAATGACGAGAAAAAAAAGTCTATACACGTTCAGTACAAATGCAGTCATTATAGGCTTTCCCATCCGTTTTGGCTGAATTCACGGCTGCAGAACCGGGGATATGGAGGGCAGACTATAGCCATCAACAGGGAGCCGTTAAATAAACCACACCACACGGGGTACCGTGGAATACTACACAGCAGTTAAAGAGGAGTGGGGCCTATCTCCATTAACAGATACAGAAAGAGTCCCATAGGCACTGTCAGTGAGAAAAGTCACAGAATAATATATTCAATAGGATCTCTTTTAGGGGGAAAACCACCCATGGGAGGGGGGAAGGGTACACACAGAAGGTAGACTGGGAGGAAGGGAGGAAGACCATAGGCAATTTTACCTACGGGAAAAACTTCTGAATTATTTTAATCTTTTACAAACGGAATGTGTTTATACTTTATACATGATTTTTTTTTTTAATTAGAATGCCGGAAGCAAAAATAAGAAAATACCCATTGTTAGGGATTTGCGACCTTATTAGATGTAAACATTCTAGGAACTCAGGAATCCTTGGATTCTGCCAAACCACAGCCACTCTCTCTCCCTCTGCCATACACACTTCTGTCCAAGAAGGGCCCTTTGGAAGGCAAACTCACGTGAGAGACCAGGAAGGAAAACTCAAAGTGGCCCTTTCCTTGTGAGCTGGGCTGGTACCCAGGCAGGCAGAGGCCTGGGGTAGGCCACTGAGCTGAAGCATGTGGCATGGCCCATGACCTACAAGGGCTTCTCCAGGCCACTGAGCCCAGGCCTTATGTTCAGCTGTCTGCTGGGCCTGATAAGACCGGAGTGGCAGAGACATCCGTGAGAAACAGAAGAGAGAGAGGCCGAGGTGGCCACGCAGGCCAGAGGAAGGCAGGCCCAGCCTCTGCTTGGCTCTCTAGCCCTCGGGTGGAGGGAGCCACCCCATGTGACTGACAGCTCCCCAGAAAGCTGCTTCCCACTGGCTTCCCTCCTCTGCGGGCGGCCTGAAAAAGGGCAGAGTCTTGTCTCTAGAATCATGACAGTTTCTTCCAACTCTCTAGACCTACCCTGTTCAGTAGGGCGGCTGCTAGCCCCACGAGGCTATTTAAATTTAAATTATTTTAAATTAAATAAAATAAAAGACCCAGCTGCTCAGTCACACTAAACACATTTCACGTGCTCGTAGCCGCATGTGGCCAGTGGCTACTGGATCGGGTGGCCCAGATGGAGAGCACTGCTGTCAACATGGGGAGTTCCACCGGCCAGCGCTACAGGCTTCCACAGCAACACGCGCAGGTGGAGGGGCCGGGGCGTCCACCCCAGGCCTCGCACTGGGTACAGAGGTGGGGCTGGGAGCAAAGAAACTTACTCTTCTGTTCTGAACATCATTAACGTTTAATTTCAAAATGACTGTGATTCGTAATATCCCAGGAGGCCTCCGAGAGATGTCCACAGTTCAGTCTCCCTTGCCGTGGGCTGGGGGAGCTGGCCTCACACTGGATGCTTTGGCCGAGCCCCATTCTCTTCTAGGGGCAGCCCTGGTCTGAAGCAAAGAAACTTCCATTGGTCTCCCCTTCAGTGTCCCTTGTAAGGAAGGTGGAAATGTTTTGGGACAGAAAGGATGGCTCCCAAACCCACTGCACAAACCTGCTCTGGCCCTGTGACCTGTGAGGGCCCAGTTTTTGTCCTCAAACTCATGGCCCTCCCCACGATGTTCAGCACTCCGACCAGCTGCCTGCTTAGAACTCCCACCTCCTGTGCCTTTGGCCAGGCAGCACCCCTGCGACCCCCTCCCCTGAGGTTCTGCCCCCAGACCTTTACCTCATTACCTTACCCCAGAGGTTGTCAACTGATTGCCCGTGGGGTGGATCAAGCTCGCAGATGTAGATTATTTGCCCATAGAGCACTTTCTCAAAGTTCAAATGAGCTGTCTCAGAAAAACAAGAAATTTCACATAAATATCCAGATTTCTGGCTTCCCTAGACAACCAGAAGCTCTTACAACCCTGGGCCTGTCATCCCACGTGGTAACAAGCCAGTGGAAGCCAAGGGAGGCTACGTCATCTTCCAGTAGAGGCATGGGCACTTCTGTTTGCCACAGGCCCCACTGTTCCCTAATGTCACCTGCCTGACTCCTGTGGTCATGGGAGTGAGTGACTCCTGCTGTTCCTTCTTTGTCCTCACTGTCCGTTGCCCAGAGGCTCTGCTCTCTCCACTCTCAGGAGTTCCCAGGGTTCCTCCATGCTGAACTTTTCCCTACCCCTCCAGTCCTCATCTCTCTCAGTGGCCTGGACCTCACCAGGACATCCCAGCAGCATCTCAAGCCTATCCCATACTAATACGCCATCTTCCCCTCCATCTACAGCCGGCTCCTCCTCCTGTGTCTCCAGGGGTGGAACTGCTCCCCCTGGGCCAGAACACCAGGAGGCATCATTACTGCCCCTCCCCCACCAGATCCCACAGCCCATGTTTCTCTTAAGCTTGTTGCCCCTCAACCTCTACGCACAGCCTGCCCTCACCTGGAGTAGCTCAATAGCTTCCTGACCGGCCTCCTGATCATAACAGCCAATAGCCATGCCTTCATTTGGCAAGGATTTCTTGAGCACCTACTATTTGCTGGACACTATCCCAGGGGCAGTGACCAAAACAGACAAAAATCTCCTTCCTCATGGGGTTTACGTTCTAGCACAGGGGGACCTAGCAAACTAGGTGACTAGGAAAGATGATACAGTCTGTTAGATGGTGATAGGTGCTACGGAGAAAAATCAAAAGCGCAGGAGGGTAGAGAAGAGGGGGGGTGTCATTTTAAATAAGTGGTGAGGAGATGCCTCAATACAAAGGTGACATTTGAGCCATGACCTGAAAGAGGTAAAGAAGGGAGCCATGTGCATATCAGCAGGCAGAGCATTTCAGGCAGAGGGAACAGCAGAGGCAAAGTGCTGAGGCAAGATGTGCCTGCATGTTCTAGGACTAGCGAGGAGCTCTGTGGCTGGAGTGATAAATCGGGCCGGGCAGGTGTCGTAGGAGATGACTCGGGGAGGTATTGGTGAGGAGGGAGTCGAACATCACGTAGGACCCTGCAGGCTGCTGAAAGGGCTTTGTTTTTAATGCTAAGAGAAATGGGCTGTTCTCAAGCTTGGGGCAGAGGCGAGAGCTGATCTGACTTCAGTTCTGTCAGGATCTCTCCGGCGGTTGTGTTAAAAAGAAAGTGATGGGGGGCCGGCTCTGTGGCCGAGTGGTTAAGTTCAGGCGCTCCGCTGCGGCGGCCCAGGGTTCGGATCCTGGGTGCGGACATGGCACCGCTCGTCAGGCCACGTTGAGGCGGCGTCCCACATCCCACAACTAGAAGGACCTGCAACTAAGACATACAACTGTGTACAGGGGGGTTTGTGGAGATAAAGCAGAAAAAAAAAAAGAGAGAGAGAGTGATGGGGCCAGGACAGGAAGAGGGAGGCAGCTGTAGTGAGACAGGAAGGAGATGGCAGGGGCTCGGACCATCAGGGAAAGCAGGAGGAGGGAGAAGGCATGACTTTCTGGACCCAAAAGAAATTAACACCAAATGGGTCTGCAGACATGTTAGATGTGGCATGTGAGAGAAAGAGAGCAATCTGAGGATAATGTCAAGGTTTACGGCTGAGTTTCTGCAAGGAGAGAGTTTCCATTAACTAAGACGGTGGATTTATCATATGCCAAGCACAGAACACAATGCTTTACTCGAATTGTTTCATTTAATCCTCCTCCAAACCTATGAGTTGACACCAGGACCCTGCCAGTCCATGCAATGGGTAGACAAAATAGGCGAGGCCATGTAGGCAGGGCTGGATGCTTTGCTGGTTAAGCTGTGGCTCCTGATCTCAAATCTTGGTTCTGTCATCCTCTAGCTACGTGATCTAGGGCAGTTGACTTTATTGCTGCACCAGTTATGCCTGCATAACAAACCACCCCAAACTTCACAACTGTCGCTCATCGTCTGGGGCCTGGCTGGGCTCAGCTGGGTGGTTCTCCCTCTGAGTCATTTGTGTGGCTATGGTCAGGCAAGGACTGGGGTGAAGTCATCTCCAAGGCTTCCTCGTTCATGTCTCTGGTGCCAGGGTGGAAAGACTCCCACTGCTGAGACTAGAATGGGGGAGCTCCTTGGGGCTCTTTCTGTCTCCATGTGGGCTCCCCCCAGGGGCTCTGCTACATGGTGGCCTCAAGGCACCTCAACTTCCTTAACGGAGGGTCAGGGTTCCAAAGGTGTGTGCCTCTAGAGACAGGGCCAGGAGGAAGCTGAACTCCATCCTGATCTAGTCTGAGAAGTCACACGGGTCCTCCTACCTCATTCTAGTCCTCAGAATCAAGTTGCTCATCTCGGCCCATGTTCAAAGGGAAGGGAATTAAACTCATCTCTGGAAGAATTTGCAGATGTGTTTTAAAACCACTGCAACAACTTCTGTCCCTCAGTTTCCTCATCTGTAAAAGGGAGAAGATGGTAATAACAGCCTACCTCAGAGGGCTATTGCAAGGATGAAATGAGATAATTCGGGTCAAGTGTTTCTACAATGTCCCCTACATAGTAAGGACTTTTGGAAAAAACCCATGGTTAACCATTTCATTTACATCAAATTCAAGGAACTTTCAAGTCAACAAACTGCTCTTTCCCAGATCATCAGACGTCCCCCTGGGTTTTGACTTAGACATTCTGGATTCTTTGCAGGTGCCAACCAGCCCTGGAAGGAGCTCCCAGCTGAGCAGCACTTGGCTGGGCCTGGGAGTTGGGCCCTTCAGGTTCTGCTGCACACCTGGCAGGTCGGGGTTAATTCACTTCTGGCTTGTTAGTGAATTCAGTTGCTGAGCACAGGTCTCCGGCTTCCAGCCAAGCTCCCTCGCTCCCCTCCCAAAGAGCCATGTCAGAAAAGGGAAAATAATTA